GACAATAGCAAGCTTTTCCCCGTGCAAACAAGCACCTAGAAACTAAGATTGCAGGTACTTTACAGCTAAAGAATATTGTGTCCTTGCATTCTTCTCTGTCTTGAACGACAAGGGAGAGCCGGTTTCTGCTCCCACCTTGTTTCCACCCTAGTCTTGTCCTCCCTGCTCCTCTATCTGCTATAAACAAGGACGTCTTTGCTGGAACAGCAGGTTGGAGAGAGTGGAGACAGAAAACAGGATCCGGGCAGGAATGACCCCTGGCCCCGTTGTCTGCCCCTTTACGAGCAGCCTGCTCTGCATGCGTCAGCAAGGGATAATACTTATGTAATGCATTACATCATTTTCCTCTTCGCCATGCACACTGCAAGGAAGCTTTGGAGTGGTGCTTCTTTAAGACGCTAGCTCCCATCCCCCTCTTGTCCCTTCAAAACAGACAACCAGCATCACTCCTTATGTAATGCATTACATCATTTTCCTCTTCACCATGCACATTGCAAGGAAGCTTTGGAGTTGTGCTTCTTTAAGACGCTAGCTCCCAATCCCCTTTTGTCCCTTCAAAACCACACAATCAGCACCACTGAGCCCACAATTCCCCCTGAAATCCCCTTCCCATTAGTTATCTCTCCCTCCCTGAGAACCTTGGCGTTTGCTCATCTACCTTCTATGATGACTACCTAAGTAACAGTATGTACAACCGAGACAGTGGAAAGAACATATTTATTACATCAGTGTTTTGAAAGTCTTCATCTTGAATACAGCATCCCTTATATCGCCAGATCTTCTTTTCCAGCCCTGAATAAGTCTGATGGGAATTGTAGTGCAACAATCTCTGGAGAGCGAGCTACCTATTCCCTGGCCTCGCTCTAAATGCCAAGAGGTCTTTCGCCGTGCACGGTTCTGCTTCTACCTGCATATCCTATTTTGATTCATCCCTAAACGTATCTCTGGAGAGCGAGCTACCTATTCCCTGACCCTGCTCTACTGTAAGTGTCGAGAGGTCTTTCGCCGTGCACAGTTCTGCTTCTACCTGTATATCATATTTTGATTCATCCCTAAATGCTGCTTTTCACTCAGAATCAGGATTTATCATGTTTTTGGCTTCTGTGCTCCCTCAAATGCTTAAAGACTTCTATTTGTTGCAGCCCAAGATTTTCCTACATACGCTGTACTTAGCATGCTTTGCTCTGTGATTGGCCACTGGAAGGTAAACAAAGGCTTATTTTGCAAGTGTAATTTGTCCCAAGATTTTCCTACATACGCTGTACTTAGCATGCTTTGCTCTGTGATTGGCCACTGGAAGGTAAACACACGCTTATTTTGCAAGTGTGATTTGCGGCGCGGATTGGTAAGGCATGTGCCTCTGAGGAAACCCAGTCGTGGGAAAGAAAATGGGTTAATTGGAGGGGAGACACCATCCCTTTAACGTCTCGTTTGGCCTTCTGACCTTGGATCCATTTCCATCTATGGGGGGTTGGACTTGATGACCTTACAGGTCCCCTCCAATTTCATGAGTCTATGATTCGATGAAACAGATCCTGCTCCTCCTCTGTATGACAGCCTTTCAAGTACAGTGGTGCCTCGCAGGACGAATTTAATTCGTTCTGCGGTTAATGTTGTCTTGTGAAAAATTCGTCTTGCGAAACGCGTTTTCCCATAGGAATGCATTGAAATCTAATTCATGCGTTCCTATGTGCAAAAAAAGTCAGAACAAAGTCAAATTTAGTTTACAAAGGGTTTATTAAGTGCTCCTTAAAGCCATACATATTGTGCAGATGATTTAAAAAATTTCAATCAAAAAACTTTAACTTTTTAAACATCACAGAAAAAAAATTAAAAATCAGCAAACATGAGGAAGGAACAAAAAACGGGAAACATTCTTCTTGCGAAGCACGGCCATAGGAACATTCATCTTGCGAGTCATCAAAACCATTTGTCTTGCGAGGTTTTTTGTTCTGCGAGGCATTTGTCTTGGGAGGCACCACTGTACAGTATATGGAAAGTGTTTTGATATTTCCCCTCAGTGTTCTTTTCTCAGGCTAAACATGCCCAGTTCTTTCAGTCTTTTCTCATAGGGCTGGGGGTTAGCAGACAAGTAAGCTTCAAGGGCCAGAGAGAGCATTTTTCTGAGTCCTAAACGTGTCTTCCTGTAGCTTGAGCCCATGTCCTGCACTCCGGGATGATGGAGAACAGATCCTGCCTCTCCTCTGTATGACTTCCTTTCAGATATTTGATAACCTAAAACGAATAAATATTGTTTTCCAACAGCCTTGGAACAAACCGCTCCTGTCTTTTAAGAGGAGCCTTTTAGAATTAAACTTACAAGTGGCCTTTCCTTTTAAGAATATCTCCACGCAATCAAAATATATCTTGCCAAACAAGCATTTTCTTGCTTCCGCATTCACTCTTCTGCAAAGGGGAATCTGGAGCGAGAAGGGAAAGATTCTCTTGTAGGCTTCATTTCATCTCCCCAAAGGTGCGTAGTGGCGTAAATAGAAGCCAACGAGAAAAAAAAACACCTGACCTCATTGTCCTTCATTCCTGCTCTGAACCGCCTCTCATGTGTTAGCCAAAATACTACATCACTGTGTTCCCACATCCTCAGGACGGCCAGGGCTTGATCCTGTCTATTGCTAAGCAGCACCCATGATTTCGGTGTAAGGCTTCTGGATTCACAAACCGGAAGACATCAAATTTTCTGATGTGCAGGGCCTTCTAAATCTCCTTTGGTGGGGCTACTTATACTTTACTTTATTTAGATTTATACCCCACCCCTCTAGGCAAAGTCTACTCAGGGCGGCTTACAAAAAATGATAAAATACAATAAAATAATACAGTACATTACTAAAACCTAATAATATAGACAACTAATTTATGAATACATATATTATCAAGATGGGGGTTTTCAAAGCCTCCCTCCCTGCTAGTATGGTTTTTGGGGGATTCCAGGAGCAGCAGTTTAAAAAAGGATGGGGTGGGGATTTTGCCAAGGTCTGGTGTTCATATGCTGAGAACGTAAATGTGCAAACCTGTCCGTCTGTGCAACAGAACCCACCTCTGCTGACTTTTCTGACGTGTAACCAATGCTCCTTCCCTAAAGTAATGTTTCCAAAGTACGGAAATGCCATGTTTTCTCCATTTCAGACTGGTCATATGACTGACCATCTCACCAGTGACTTGTATAGATTTAAATTTATATACAGTAGGACCCCTGTTTCAATAGGATCAGTATCTGCGGTTTCACTTAGCCATGGTCTGAAAGTATTAAAAATATTACAAGACAACCCAGGATGGTCTGAAAGTATTAAAAATATTACAAGGCAACATCAGAAATATGTATTTCCATGATGTAGTTACTAAAACGGGCCACTAGAGGGAGCCAAAGACCAGACTATGTATAAAGTTCACTATTATCCGTGGTTTTCAGCATCCGCGGGGAGGATCTCCTGCCCATATGGGAGGTCCTACTTTAAGCAGGGTGCATTACCACATTTTCTTTCTATAGCATCCCACCAAGAAATTATTTGCAAACCTACCCACTTCCAGTTGCTTGACCTGGTGCACAATTAGGAACATGAGCTGCAACTCATTAATTAGTGGCAGTTCCTTGCAGCAATTAAGTGAAAAG